TGCAGCAGCTGGTTAGAGGGTCAGTGCCCTGGACCCACCCCGCCCTGCAGCCAAGGGCACCTGCTTGGCACAGACTCAGCAGCCGCTGAGTCCTGTGGGCTGAACAGAGCCGTCTAAGACAGGGGAGTCGGGCAGAGTTGGACTGGTCACCTGAGGGAAGAAAGATACCACAAAGTTCATCCCTCCCAAGAGGGTTTTGGGATTTGAAAGTCTCCACCCCCACTCTAATCTTTCCTCCCCTCAGAGTATAGAGATTCCAAGGCAGGACCACGGTGGCCCCTTACTCTGGCATGGACCATGCCCTTGGACTGAGTGTCAGCATAGACCCGCCCTCCTAGCTCACAGCCCTCAAGCCTGCCACGCCCCCAGCCCCCTCTCTGGGCCATGCTGCAGGGCCTGGCTTTTCCTGCTGATTCATGCGTTGGAACTGTGGGGGCGGGGCTTGGAACTTGGAACAAAGTTCAGACACGGAGGGGACGGCAGACAGCCTGGAATTCATACCAGATGTACCCGGAATGCGCAAGCGGAATGCCTGGCATCTGAGAGTCCTGGGGAAGCTGCCCAACCACTCTGCCGGTACCTCCCTCCCCTCCAGCCCTTGGTCCACTGTCCTCTCCCTCACAGTCCCAGGAGTCTCTGCTGACCTTCTTCCAAACTCTAGACCTCCTCCCTTCCTCACTCTTCCCCAGATCTAGGCCCCCAAAACTCTTCCTTCCAGCTGAACTCCCTGGAAACAAGTCAGCTGGGCTGATCACTAAGCTCAAATTTCTGGACCTGAGGTATAACTTCTCACCTAATGTCTGGGTGGCTGGTGATGTCCAAGGTCTAAGGCCCTGCCATCTCTGGTTAGGAACACTGAGGAGGCAGGGGCCCTCGTGCGTTGCTGGGGCACTGTGGTGAAAGCAGACTTGGGATTCTGTAGCCGCCAGTTCTGGGAAGAGGAACAAGGGAAGTATGCTTAAAGCTGCCTATTGCTTCTCTATGAAGTTTAACAGCTTTTGCAGGCCCAGGTCAGAGCCAAGAGCCCTTCATTAGAAGGTTGAAGATCTGCTGGGGTGGGCTTTGATGGGCAGTGGGACAGTGTCCCTGTGACGTGACCCTGCTCAGGTCTTTCCCATTTGTCTTGCCCTTCCTTCTAGGACCCTATACCTCCCACATCCTCACCTGGCTGAGCCGCAGTAGTTCTTCAGTGGCAAGCTTTATGTCCTGACCCAGCTAAAGCTGCCAGTTGAAGAACTGTTGCCCTCTGCCCCTGGCTTCAAGGAGGAGGAAGAAGAGGAGGAGGAGCTGCTTTCCCATCATCTGGAAGGTGACAGAACTGGGGCTGAGGTCTGAGCAGTGAGGGTGATGGTATGTTTTGAGGAAGGGAACCATACTCAGTCGGGGAGCCTTCACCCACGTTGGCCTTGCAAGAGAACAATTGGAGATTAGAGACCCTGGCTGAATTGGAGAGTAGAGGGCTCTAACAACTAAAGGTTAGTTGATCTTTGGATAACAACAGGAAGAAGTGGAGAGAAGAAATCTGTCCACTCCTTTACCCAGATTTCCTTCTTGACCCTCCTTCCTATCCCCCATTTTTCACTACTGGCCTTTCCAGGTGAAGTCCAAAAATAAGTGTGTGCTTCAGAAGAAAGGTGATTCTGAAACTCTCATCTTACCTTTCCCTGTATGTCCTTAGACTGGCCTACATTAGATTCAGAGATGTTCATCTATATCTGGACCTTTAGACCCCAGCCTAAGCTTCTCTACCTGTGAGATGGGGAATCACACATATCAGTATACATGAGAGAATCAGAAGCCCAGTTGTGCAGACTAAGAGCCTGGGCTCTCCTACTCCTGTGGATGGAAATAAAATAGCTTTTCACATAAGCTGTTGTCCTCCCCTGCCCCTGATCATAACCCCAGGAACTCTCGGGCAGTGGAGACCAGGAGTAGAATGATGTAAGGGGGGCTAATGGGAGCTCCATCACTATGCTGACTTCCCTACCATGCAAGGGTGGTCCCAGGTTTTCCCTGCCACCTAGAGCAGGACCACAGCCCCAGATGGGGTTCCAGTTGCTGCTGCTGTGTTTCTTCCCTCACAGTGCTTTCCAGGATTGTGTGTGAGACTCAGCTTAGGCTTGTGTAGGCAGGAAATTCTCACCTGCAGCAACTAGGGAAGATGCGCTGTGGGATTCACCACTTTTGGGGCATCAGCCACTAACCCTGCTGGCCCCAATTCCTGATCCGTCTCACTCTCAGCTCAGGCTCTGATGTGATTTAGCCTTGGCCCAGTCTCCCGGCCTAAAGGCGGCCAAGTGCAGGGGCTACAGAAAGCTTTGTTCTGTTTTGGGGTGGTGGGGAGATGTGCAGGGAGCTGGGTCCTAGTCTCCAGAAACTGAGAAGTTGAAAGGTTTAGGGGAGAGTAGACTGTAGAACTCAGCTATTCTGCAGCCTAAGCAGAAGGGGAAGAACCTGTGGGTGGGACTGTGGGAGAGTGGGTGGGTAGACTGAGGCTGCGACAAAGATTGCTCTGTCCCTGGACATTGCTTCTGTCCTTTCTTCCCCTCATCACTTCACTGGGCAGAGCATCTCTCCAGCCCTGTGCGTGTGGCCCTGTCATCCTGACCCATCATGGAGCAGAGGTGTGGAGGGGCAGCCTGGGAACACAGAGACAGGCAGAAGGCCAGTGAGGCACCAGGCCTGGAGAGCACAGGGTCCTGCCCAGACAACCCACAGAGGGGGCCCTTTAAGGCCATAAACACCCCAGGAGGAAGGACGGCAGCTAGCCTCCATCAAGGACGATCTTCCAGCCATCTTCTACTTCACTCACCACTTCTCTCCAGTCTCTCTGCCTCCCTGAGGTGTGGAACCATATTAAATAAAGTGTCCTGTAGCTTCACCCTCCTGCTTTTACCTCTCCCCTGTAATTTTGAAATGAGCAGCTCAGAGAGCAAGAGCCAGCTGTAAAAGGACATGCACAGGAAATTCTTAAAAGAAATTCAAATGAATAAAACCACAGGGAAAGAAAATGTATGCTTCATTAGTGTCTGAAAAAAGGCAAATAGACCTGAAAGCATTTTTCCTTCAGCAAACTATTAGAGAAAAAAAAGGAGACCCAATGTTGGCAAAGGAGTGCTGAAATGACACTCCTTTACATTTCATATGGGAGTATAAACTGGGACAGCCTGCTTGGATAGCAGTGTGGTAATATGGATCAAACACCCTAAAAGTTTTCATGGTCTTTGACCTAGTAATTCTGCATTTGGGAATTTAGCCTAAGAAAATAATTAAGGTTTTAGGTATAAGATGTTCATCTCAGCATTGCAATAGAGAAGAAAGGGAAGCAACTGACTGGGAATTCATTTTTGTAATGAAAATTTGCAATAGGGGATTGCTTAAGTAAATTATCGTGTATCTATCCAGATGGTAGAGTACTGTGCAGCCATTAAAAGTCATGTAGCACAGCATTTGACTGGGAAGAAAAATGCTCCTTGAATATTAAAATGGTTATAAAAATAGTATGTGTTATGGGATCACAATTTGTTTTTAAAAATACTTTGATAAATATGAAAAAGACTGAGGCCATGCTCCAAAATGTTAATTGTGGAAAAAAGTGATCGTCATTTTCCTCTTTGTATTTTTCTGTAATTTCTAAATTTTCTACATTAATCATGTACTGCTTTTGTATAATAAATAAAAAAATTTTTTTTAAAAAATCAGTGTAATTTTTAAAACCTTTGGAGAGGTGGGTTTAGAATTATGGAGGGATGCCCCTGGCCTCTTGGTCTTAGTGGGTTTTGATGGAGAAAGGAGGTTATGAGAATGTTTTTGGGGGGGTAGTTATTGGTTTATGCACTTGATTCTTTCGGAGTAGCTGGAACCCACCCTCTCACAGGAAATAGCTCTCTGAACTGCTGCCTGTCAGCCAGCTAAAGAGGTATAGAGTACAGTGAGAAAAGAGGAAAACATTAAAAACTTGCCACCCTTCAGGGGATGGGGAGTTGGGAGAGGCTGAAGGGTTCTAGGATCCTAATAGTCCTGCTGCAGAGAGCAGGGTGAGTGTTTTTCTCTTCTGATTCTGCCGACATCTGGTGACCCTATGTAACCTCCCCTTGCCCTCTTAAATTGGAAGGGAAATTCTCTTACCCACTTATCAGGTACCAAAAAACCCTGGCAAAAGGGGCACCTTTCAGGACTATTGTGATGAGTAATTCCCTTTTGCTCCCCTCCCCCTTCCTAATAAAGCTCCCCAGTAGGACAGAAAAAAAAAAACTTTGAAGGAGTTCCCCAGTGGGTCTCTGCTCCCAAACGGGGCTTTTTTGCATTTGAGAGGTAATAAGAGGGCAGGGCTCCTGGAATTGTGGACTGTGTTACAGGTCTGAAAACCTCGGGAGGCCGCTGACTCTCTAGAATTGAGGTGCCCCCCTCCCCCAACAATTGACGTGGGGCTGGGGGCGGTATGATGGCGAGATTTAAGCAAGTACGAGTGGGTTGCTCTCGCCTCTGCCCTCAGGGCTGTAGGGTAGGGTGGGAGGGACGGTCAGCAGGCGAGAGGTTAGGAAGTAAGGAAAAAGGTGAAAGTGGGATGGGGCCCTCGCAGCACCTGGTAAGGCTAGGTTAGTGATCCATTTCTGGAACTCCATGGGGTTCGGGACACTTGGAGTTGGGGGAGACCCCTATTGACAGCCCAGTTGTCCCCCCCAAGCCCCGAAGTTGCACAGCTTGGTCCCCAGGAGCCCCCAAACCGGGATCCCCGGCTGGGGCGGGACGCGATCGGTTGCTGTGGCTCCAGGGGTGGTGGCCCCACGGATGCTCCAATCACCGCCCAGCAGAGGGGTGGGGGCGTGGCCGATCCGCGTAAAAGTTACCGCAGATTCCGAAGGAGGGGCAGACGGTGGAGCCCAGGGACCCACCCCTGCAGAGAAGCTAGTTCACAGTCCCGGCGGGGGCCTTGGATGCACTGGGCTGAGGGCTCAGGACCAAAGGGACTGGTCCAGACCTAGCCGGGACCGCCACGCATGTCGCCCTTGGGGCTCCTCATGACAGGCGCGTTCTTCGCCGCGTTCCAGGGACTTCACTGGGGGCTGCAGCTGCTGCCCACGCCTGGACCTGCTGCTCAAGACCGTTGGAAGTGGCGGAACATCTGTGTCTCTCTGGTGCACAGCTTGCTCGCAGGGGCTGGGGCGCTGCTCGGGTGCGGGACTTGGGAGTTTGGGAGGCACCAGTGTAGGGGTAAAGGATGAAAGACTGAGGTTGAAAACCGAGTGGGCTTTTGTAAAATCGATGCGAGACCTTACGAGTCAGACCAGGTTGGAGGAATGGATGGGTGGGAGGGCGTGCACAACGGGAGAATGGGGTCGTGGTCTGTGCAACGCTGACCATCGCTCCCCCATCTCCCTCAGGCTGTCACTGTACCCTCAGATGGCCACCGACCCAATTCATGGCCACCCGCGCTGGGCCCTGGCGCTAGTGGCTGTCTGTGGGTGAGTCTCCAGGGAAGGCTGGGCCATGGGGATGCGGGAGCAGAGGCGCAACCTTTCAGTGGTGATTTCAGGTCCCCTTCCTCCTCTCCTACTGGTGTTAAATGTTTTTTGGCGGCTTTGCTGAGAAAAACTGAAGAACTGGCAGAAGGGTGATGGGGATTCCTCTCTAGGCCTGACACTCTCCCCATCCTCTCATGCCCACAGGTTATTTTCTGGCCGATGGAGCTGATATTCTACAGAACCAGACCTTGGGCCAGGCCTGGGACCTGCTCTGTCACCATTTGGTGGTGAGACTCTGAAGCGAGAGGCGAGGCAGGAAGGGAGGCATGCCCAGCTTGGGGTCCCCAATCTCTCTTCAGCTTTCTGTCCTCTGGCTTCCCAGAGAGGCTCTGACCCTAGCTGAATTTGAGCCTCACCATCTTGGGCTGAATTGGGTGAAGGGGGGGGGGGTTGCCTGTCAGCCACAGCTGGGAGTCTGAGCACTGCCTAAGACGCCTGGATCCGGCACAGGTGTCCAGCCAATTGCAGAAGCACTGAATATAGAGCTTTTTCGGGAAGAGGGAGCCCCAATATAGGAAGTGGGGATGGGGCATGAAAGCCAGAAATGGAAGTTAGGGGGTACTGAGGCAGATGCTACAGCCTCAGGGTGAGGCAGCCCCTTGCTGCTTCTGTCCTATGCAAGGATTGTTCCCTGAAGTAAGGGTAAATAAAGGTCACATATATGGGAGGTCCCCCAAAATGCTTGGAGCCCCTTTCATAAGGCTTGGAATACTGGGACACAATGGGTTGCAAGGCCTGGAAGGTCATCTGACTTCTAATCCTGGCTCTCAGGGAGTAAGCTGCCTCAGCACTGCCGTTCTGTCCGGCCACGACGTGGGGTTCTCCGTGGTGTCTCTACTCCTGGAGCTGAACTCTGTCTGCCTGCACCTGCGCAAGCTGCCGCTGCTTTCTCACTAGGCACCATCCCTGGCCTTCAGCATGGCCAGCTGGGCTACTCTGGCCTCCCTGGCCCTCTTCCGCCTAGTGCCGCTAGGGTGGATGAGTCTGTGGCTGTTCCGGCACCACCACCAGGTGCCTTCTGCTCTAGTTGTCCTTGGTGGAACTGGTCTGGTCACTGTGGGTACCATGAGTATCATACTGGGTGTCTGCATTCTAGTCAGTGATGTCCTGCGGTCTCAGCCCCACCCATCCACCCCGGGCACAAGGAGACCAGAACATGTTGTGATAGTGAGCCTGCCAGGCCTGACCACAGGGACACATCCATTCTCAGCCTGAAAGGCTAGAGAGAAGCCACAGGCTCCTCTTCTGCCATCCCTCGTGGAAGAGCCACCAGGACAAGGAGGTGGTGGTCTTTACTGCATATTCCCTTATTGGGGTAAGGGCTAGCTGGATTTTCAGTATCTCAGTTCCTCTTCCAGCTAACTCACACCTTCCCCCATTCCTAGGATCTGAGAAGAAAAGCTACTATTTGTGGGTGGGCAGGAACTTGGGATATTGTTCACTGGATTCCATCATCAAATGACCGCTCTTTCCAGCAGACTAACTCAAGAGGTACACCCAGTACTACCACTAAGGGGTAGCGGGAAGCAGGAAGCTGGAAGAAACTGCGAATGGGAACAGAAACCCTTTGCTTTAGTACAGGGATAGACGAGGTTCTACTGGGATCAGAGGGTTCAGGTATAAAGGTGAAGGAGTCAGAGGGAAGAGAGACCTTGCCTATGACCAAATCCTGGCAGGGGGAGGAGGGCACAACTAGTGCCATCTGTAGCCAGTAGAGATGGAAGTAATAGTTGCCAAGAGACAGAAGAATCTGGGCCACAGCAATTGCTGCTGATATTTCTAGTTCTCAAAACCACGCTATTGTGTTTATACTTAACCTTAGTCCTACTGTGTCCAGCAACTGGCTTTTTCTTTTAGCATTACCTGACCGTTTCAAAGAAAATACAGATTCTTAGAGGGGTAAACATGAGGCTAGGTCTGTCTTCTTAGCACAGTACTAAAGTCCAAAGCCATAGACTCAAACACCCATCCTGGGTGCCCACTGTAGGATCCTCCTAGGCCCAGGCTTTCATGGAAGAATGAAGGCAGAGGCAGAAGGTGGTGAAGGAAGACTTCCTCTTAGCTTCAGAGGGATTAAGGAATAGCTGACCCTCTTCTGGGATTTACCCAAAAGCACTCCTTCCTCCTCTGCCATTTCTACTGCATTCTTCCTCATGGGTGAGACCCCGCGTTTTCGGGCAGAACATCAACGTTATGGAAAGTGTAGAGCAGATTAAAGTTGCTATCCTACTAAACAATGAACAGAAAGAGACAACCCTCAATCCTCCACAGAAAAGATACATGAGCAAAACACGAGACAGGAAGATGAAAACACACGTACACACAAAACCTGCCAAAGAGCTTGAGGTAGAGAAAGAAAGGGAATGACAGAAACGACATACGTAGATTTGAGTGACAGACAGAAAGAAAGAGAAGGATTGATTGCATAGAGGAGATTGGGCAAAGAGAGAGAAAATCCTGGACAGAAGTACTGAGAAAGACTGTCTTAGGTGCTGAGAGGAACAAAAATCATAACATTGGTAAAATGATCATAAACAACGATGACAAGAAAAATAGAAATAAAGACTGACAGAAAGGGGCCCCCAAGGGTGGAAGGCACAGGTAGTCTAGACAGTATAATAATGAGAGTGAGTGACAAGGAGGAACAGTCAGGCTCGGGAGAGATGGAGGTAATAGTGGCAGACAGAAAGATTAGCAGAGCCAGAGAAGAGAGGAGGTGGAAATTGAGACAAGGTGGGATTAGTCAGAGGAGCTAAGAAGCAGAAGAGCAGAAGGCGGAGGCGGTGGTCAGTGGAAAGATTCATTGACAGAGAGAAGCAGGCAATATGTGGAGTTGGAGACAGGCAGAAAGACAAAGGACAAATGGCTACAGTGCAAAACACAAAGACAGAGGCTACCAGTAACTGATAGGCAGAGACTAGTAGGAAGACAAGGAGCAGTCAGAATCAGGGATGTAAGTTGAGATAAAAGCAGAGGCAAAGGGACTAAAGGAGCATCACAGAGAGGAAAAAGGGGGGAAAGGGCAGACTACTTAAATAAATATCCAAATAAAGGAACAAAGAAACGGAGAGAACACAGAGGTGAAAAGAGGAAAAGAAATAATGGAGACACGGGGAAAAAAAAAAAAATGAGAGAGAGGGATTATGGGGAATCGCAGACACAGAGTCATAAAAACTGAGGCACAAAAGGGAAAAATAACAAGTAGAGACTGAAGAGAAACTGCAACAGTTGAAAGTAGATAAACACCGGCAGAAAATAAGAGCAGAGTTATAAATGTAGTAAGAGTAAAACTATAGAAGCAAAGGTATAGAGGTTGAGTTAGAGAAACAAAACAGAGTTTTGTCAGAGAGTTTGTCCTTAATAGAAACAGTATCTTCTAACCTCAGTCTGCCATCTTAACTGAATGCCTTGATTAACAATAATGTTGTCTGTCTTGACTTTTCAAAGAAAAAGGAATGTAACAAATCCGTGTGAGGAATCTGTTCCGTAACCATGTGTTGAGATCAGTATTAATTTATTCCAAGCCCTACACCTTTTCTTTTGCCTGTCATAAATTCATGGTCCAAAACAGCACCCCTCTTGGAAGTACTTGATGGCAATAATGAGGATTGCCCAAGAATCCGACCATTAGGGAAATATGGCTGTTTCTTTGCATTAACTAGTAAAACTCATGCAGGTAGGGTGAAAGTAGCCAATAGTGGGGGCAAGATATAAGTATACAACTGAAGATTTTTGAACCACAGAAAGGTAGGATTGGATTGTGCTTATAATTGAGGAAGTGGGAATCTCATTAGCTGGAGCGTGGATCAGATAAAGATGATGTGAATCAAAGAGAGATGGTCCCTAGAAAAGGGAAGCTCAAAAATACAGAGGATCTGGGATCACAATAGAGGGTCCTGAACAGAGCAAGAGAAAATGTAGAACAAAAAATAAAATTCATAAAAAAAGACCAGACTTACTGGCCTAAAAGAGACTGGAAGAACCCCGGAGACTATGGCCTTAAGACACATCTCTGACTTGGAACTTCAGCCATTCCTGGAAACCACCTTCCAATCAAGCAATAGACAGACCTGTAAAATAAACAATGACACCTGGAAAGAACATGCTCCGTAGAACAAATAATCATATGAGACCGAAAGGGCAACATTTGCCCAAAAGTAAAGATGAAAAGGCAGGAAGGGGTAGGAGAACCAGATGAAAGGGAACAGGGACAGGGTGGAAATGGGGAAAGTGTTGACAAAGTGTGGGGATTGCAACAGTATCATGGAACACTTTGTGTACAATTTGTTGAATGGGAAACTCATTTGCTCTGTAAACTTTCACCTAAAACACAATAAAATATTTTTTTAAAAAATACAGAGGTTGGCAGACACTCTATTTGGTACAATGAGTCCGATCACCATGGCAGTGCTTTGACAGACCTTACCATGGCCTAGTGAAGTGGTCCTCAAAACTGACTCTCTGCCTACTGAGCTACCTGCTGAGGAATTATTTGTCTTCTGACATACGGAAAGGGCTTTCCTGGATGGGGAACACTGATATTTTGTGGTCTCAGAACATTATCTCAGCTATAAATTAATAAATTACTATTTAAATAACTATAACAGTCTCTTGTAAGTGTGGTTACTTTAAGTCAGCTTGCTCCAATGGTGTCCTGATTTACAAGGCACTAGATCAGATGCAGTGGTTAAGAGCTCGGCTGCTAACCAAAAGGTCAATAGTTCGAATCCACCAGCCACCCCTTAGAAATTCTATGGGGTATTTCTACTCTGTCCTATAGGGTCGCTATGAGTTGGAATCAACTCTAAGGCAACAGGTTTGGATCAGATACAGGAGTCCCTGGGTGGTGCAAACAGTTAATGCACTCAGTTGCTAACTGAAAGATTGGTGGTTCAAGTCCACCCATTGATGCCTCAGAAGAAAGTTCTGGCAATCTATTTCAGAAAGGTCATAGCCACTGAAAACTCTATGCGCAGTTCTACTCTGAAACACATGGGGTCGGAATGAGTCAGAACTGACTGGTTGGCGACTGGTTTTTTATTTGTTTGTTTGTTTGCTTACCTAGTTAGTTAGCAGCAGGCCCTGGACTCAAACCCATTTTTTTTTTTCTATCATACCACCTGTGGCAAGACATCTGCCTTTTTTACCTGTCCAGCAGTATAGGAGTTTTCCTTTGAAAACCACCCCTTTCGCTGTCCCCTCATGGGCATGTGCCCCAGGCCTAGCCAATCAGCACACTATATCCTCTTTCCTAGGAATGAGCTCATGACATAAGCAGAGCCTGTGAGCCTCAGTCCCTTGACTTCCTGCTAGAACTTTTGGTTAAGATGCACTTTATGTGTGCAGGCCTTACTAAGCCAGTAAAACGTAAGAGAACTTCCCTGACTGTAAAGCCAACACAGAAAAAGAGGACTCAAGAGATGAAGAGAGATTTCTAACATCAGCTGAGTATCAGGATGGAGCTCTGCCTGAAGCCAGAGCCTCGCCGGGACATTCAGTTACAAGAGCCAAAAAACTCCCCATATCTGCTTAAGTGAGTATGGGTTGAGTTTTTTCACTTGTAACAGTGACTCCTGATTAATACATCACCTTAAAGATTATCCAGTTTCATCACTTCATTTTGCAGAAAATTAAAGTTAAGTGACTTATCCAGCTAGTTTGTGGCACAGCCAGGATAAGAATCCAGGTCTTAAAGATTAGACAGGCCCATAAAACAAAATGAGACTAATGGAGCACAACAGCCCAGGACAATGACTACAAGGCAAGAGGGGACAGGAAAGCTGGTAATAGGGAACCCAATGTTGAGAAGGGACAGTATTGACACGTCGTGGGGTTGTTAACCAATGTCATAAAACAATATGTGTACTAATTGTTTAATGAGAAACTATTTGTTCTGTAAACCTTCATCTAAAGTACAGTTTAAAAAATTAAAGAAAAAAAATCCAGGTCTTTGATTTAATTTGGGGTCCCTTCCTATACACTAATTTGCTTCTTTTATTTATAGAAAGGCTGAGGTGTAGAGAAACTTCAAGGTAGAAATGTAGGAGCCAGCCGACAACTGAAGATCAATCAAGCCAGATAAATTGCCTCTGAAGTAGTATTTATAAGTCAGGATGCTTCCGTTTGAAAGCCAGACTTTTACTCACCAAGTATTGATTTGTGCACTTTTCAGGAATGCAGCAACTATGGAGGTAAGCGGTGCATTTCAGCTTTCTTCTGCGGACAAGAATGC